TGGGCTAGAACTCCAAAGAAGAGGAAACTTTAAAGGGCGGAGTAAACTTGTTTAAAGTAAACTTGTTTTTCCTTCTTGACAATATCCAATTGTCTTGTATGGTGCCTAAAATGTCATGAGTTATTGTAATAACAAATTGAGGATTACAGAAGTAGTTGATTGTAACTTTTGTGCAAGCAAAAGTTGTCACTGCAGACACAGCGAAGGCAACGCATCTCTTTGTAATTGCCTTGAATGGAGAGTGATGGAGTGAGGGTTCCAGGAGAGTTAAATTAGGGCCGCGGACATGGTGAGGGGGAGTTTGGAGGAGACCAGCCCCAGGTGTGTTAATCAAAAATGAGCCGAATGAAGTTCAGTTCATTTCACACTTCTGAACTGTGCAATGATTTGGGAGAAAAGATAATATTTTTTATTTTACCCTGGAAGAATCCTAAACCTTTGCTCCAGGTGCTTGTGGTGATATTCATAGAAATACTGTAGAACAATAGCCGAATTTATTACTTGGAACTTTCCGCTATACATTTGCTATTTCATGCAGCATCCATGATGTATTTATAAGCCTACTAGGAAATGGCTATATAAGAATCTCAGACAAGAGAAAAGCTCTTCAGAAATTATATCCCGTGTTTTGTAATTTGGGGTTCCACTGTGTTTTTCTTGGAGAATATTCTATCTCTAAAACGTGTCTAAATTTTGAGTTGTACATAATTTTTTTAGGTGAGGGATTCACAGGACTAGTAGAGGAAGCTTTCTTAATTCAATTCAGCTAGAGATTTGAACCATATATCAAGGCTGCCCCTTTGGAAGGAAGCATAATTATTCTCAATCACAGCCTAAGATTTTTCAATTAGCAACAGGAATCAAATGCAGATTTGTTCCAATTTACAAACAAGTTGTGGTCTAAATATTCACTTTTAAGTCTGCTCCTTCTAAGTCTGGAGTAATTTTTCACGTAGACTAATGTGGCAGCTGGATTGTAAACTCTGTTTACAAAACCCTTTAAACCATCATGTACCTAACATTTAACTGCTTTTCTAGCTTTCTGTAAGATGAGTCACAGGTGCCACAGAAGATTTGATGGCAAAGTCTGCGGAGTCTCTTTCATGTAACAGACCACTGGCCATCCCACTGTCCACACTGGCCAGACTGCTTCTAGAACAGGGCCAGGAGAAAGGTAACCCGGGTCTGGGCATGTCTCACAGATGGAAACTTTCAGTTCCCATTCTCCTGGGGTTTTTTTCTTTTCTTTTCTTTTTTTAAAATTCACAGACCCTGTGGTTGATTTCTTGTTTTGCTTTCCTACTGCAGCATTTTTGACAAAATTTTCATCTCCTCTTGTATTCAGAAGAAATTACACATGGCAGCCTAAAATAAATTGGCAGTTTTGGTAGTTTCTGAACAGTTTAGGAAATGATTCTCAAAGTCCATTCCTCTCTCTTGTTTAATTAAAAGCAAGAGTCATATTTCAATAACACTGGTGATGAAGAAAGCTATGTTCTAGGAAAAAAAAAAAAAAAAAAACCCACGAGCTCTGAATATGTCATCACTAAAGCTTAAGAATGTGCAGGACCTGGAGACAGAGTCCAGAGAGCTGACGTACTTGGCTCGGGAGCACTAGGGGCAAGCATGAGAATGGCACACTTGGGGATTTAATTTGTCCTCTATAGCACACAGCCCATTCCACATCACTGCTCATGTGCATAATTTAATCTTTTACTTAAGTTAATGTGATGGCTAGAAGTCAGCTTCAGGTACCAGAAAGTTAGAGAGGAAAAGAAACAAAAAAGCGGCTACACCCAGGAGGTCCGTAACAATTTGGAATACATAGCTGACCTGTAATCCCAGCACCCAGGGGGACTTCTGTGAGTTCGAGACCAGCCTAGGCTACAAAGTGAGTTCAAGGCCAGCCTGAACTGCATAGCAACATCCTGTCTCAAAAAGACAAAAAAGGCAGCCAGGAATATAACTCAGTGACACAAGCACCTGCCTGGTTGTGAGTTTGATCCCTGGTACTAAATAGCAAACAAACAAACAACCCTCCAAACTATTTTGAATACATGAATGAGACACTATAAACCCCTATAGGGACACAGAAGCATGAGAATCTCATTCTAAGGTATGATGTACGATTAAGGTGCTTCCTGCAAGAATACAGATCAGGAGACCCCTAATCTTTAGAGGAAAGGGAAACAGGAAAAAGCAAAAGGCTTCCTGGAGAAGATACCACTGGCAAAAACATTGTGTGTATGTGAAAGAAGAGGGAAAGGCAAGAATGTGTGAGAACAGCGTGCCCTGCACATCACGTGGGTGAGATGCATGTTAGGCACAAGGCATTCCATTTTGCTGGCAAGTGGTACAAAACCAGACTCGAAACATACAAGGTGCCAGATCACTCAGTGGCCCTGAGCTACACTCACAGGAAGCTGACTCACTATCCAGGGTGTAGGGAGTGCCATCCTCGAAGCAGATACAGCTTGGAGATTTGCATTTTGGATGGATGAATTCAAAAGTATGTTGGGAATAGATTGAAGGCAGATTGATGGGAAGCAAGTTATGTAGGAAGCTGCTGCAGGATTCCATCAGAAAGACTATGAAGTCATTCTCAGATCAGTTTTAGAGTACTGTAGTAGGAATAAATGGTGTTGTTTCAGTTTCAAAAATATTTAGGTACCTGTGGTTAAATACGATGGAATAAAGACATTTACTTGTCTAAGAACTCTCAAAAATGCAGTATATGTATTTCTGATAGTAAAAGTGAAAGGAAAAAAAAGAATACAGAAAAAAAATGGAAAGAAATGTTTAAACCAGTAGCTACACCAACAGCATTTTTACTGCGGAGAGCAGATGGGGTGCTGGCAGCTACACGACCGAGAAAAGAAAGCTGTATTTCCAGCTTCCCTGAGAGCAATCAGTAAGAAGAAAGATTTATCAAGATCGGAAAACATACAAGCATTCAGGAATTGGGGTCACCAGTTACTATGGAAAGGTGAGCTAGGCTGGGATGAAGAGGAGCAGTGACATTCTGTACAAAGCTGTTAGATCCCCAGGCCCCCAAACTCCTGCTGTGTTGATGGTTAACAAACCATTTGCCACTTAAGCAGAGGGAGAAGCTCACCCTCTGGAGACCAGGACACAGGGCAAAGCTCAGGAAGAATGAAGTGCAACAGAGGAAATAAAAGCACACGGGGCACTCCGTGGTCTTTAAAGTGAGATATTACTTGCCTCATTACCCAGGGAGTGCTGGAGGCTTCTTGTTTGAAGACACTTACCAGCCACAGAAGACGATGACAGCGTTTGAGAAACTTCCCCCAAAGAGCTGGGTTTCAGCCAAACCACTCCCTCCCAGTAAGCAAGACCTAGAGCGCTCTTTTCCCAGCTACATCCGGCCCTGGGCATCCAATAAACTTTCAACAACTTATCTGTATACGTAAACAGTCAAAGAGTGCAAGGTATGTAAGGAAAGCTTCTAACATGAGAAGCAGAATAAATGCACACAGAAACGACATCAGTGGAGACAAAGGTAAGAGGAGGAGAGGGAACCTGCAAGCAGACTGTAATTAGAATTGATGAACTCAGTGATAAAATACTGCAAGAATAGGATGGGATATAAAGACAGTACAGGGAACAGGAATGTTTCATGTATTCTTAAGAGGAAAAATTGAAAAATGCATAGAAGTATTGAAAATGGAGAAAAATCTCACAGAAAGAAGACAAAAATGTATAACCAAAGGCAAAGGTTAAAAATTGAAGATAAGCCCAAGGGGTCTAACTAACTTTTGTGACCTATCATTGTTTTTATATCCTCATTCTTTTGAGTGAAGAAGATTGTCTTGGGGCAATTTAAAAATACATAATATAGTTTATATATATATTGCAAAGAATTTTTAAAATTTTTTGTTATGACATCAGAATAAGAGGACAAACAAAAACCAACCAATAACAAAATAGGCTGCAGTTTCACCATGCCTGGAAAATTGTAAAGAATATAGAAATGAAGACAGAAACTAAGAGAAGAAGTTACTTTTAAAAAATATTTTCAAAAATGAGGGGATAAATTTTATATTTAAAGAGAGAAATAACTGCCTAGAGAAAAAAGAAGGAAAAAAAGGAACACTAAAGGCACACTGTAAATTCTTAACACATTAGAAGCAAACAGAAGAATATAAATCTGTGATGGAAAAAAGGAAAAGAGATTGTACGTGGCAATGGAAATCAAAGTCTCACTGGATTTGTCAAAACCAAAAGTGGAAGCTAGAAGACAACCTGGCAGTAGTTAAAAGCTCTAATGAAGAATGAGCTATAGTCTCGCACTCTGTACCTAACTAAACTATCAATCAAGTGATGGGCAGGCTAAGGTTATTTACAGTCCCCAAAATTATTTTTTTAAATCATGTTCCATGTACTGTGTCCTAGGAGTCCACTGAAGGGTCTGCTTCATCATAACAAAATGTGGAAGTTAGGTAGATTTCAGGAAGAGGGCTCCAACTCAGGATAAGAATCCTCTAGGTTACAGTGACTAGCTGACAGCTAGGAAGAACAGCAGGTGAGAGACATTCTACAGACCAGGACAGTAGAAGGCTGCGTTAAAATGTTGTGAAGAAGAAAATTTAAATGAGACCCATATGGAAGGTTAGCCAATCAATTATATCAACATATTTAAAGAAGTTTCACAGTTCTGGCAGAGTGTGAAAGTGTAGAAAACCACTCTTTCCCCCCCTCAACACAGGGGATAACTAAGAGAAAATAAAAATTTTAAGTAAGGAATATAACCAAGTTATAATAACGAGGAGGTGATGGTGGTGGTAGTGGTGATGGTGGTATGTGTGTTTGTCACAAGAGCCCTAAGTATTTTTATAGGTACAAAGTTTTATAGGTACAAAATTTTTATAGGTAAAAAGTGAAAAATCATGAAATATGAATTACTCATTCTATTTAGAATACAGAAGTAAATAGAAGTAACACACAGATCTCAAAATGATCGTTTTGGGGAGGAATAAAGAGAGAGGTAAGATGGAGTTAAAGGCCATTTACTGTGTTATACAGAGTCATATGATTTTTGCCCATCAAACCACTAGCATGTACTTTGCTCATACAAATAAAAAGTAAATATCACAAAAGAAGACGGGCAACATAAGCTGGATTGACTGTTGAGTGGGTGTGCTAGGGCCAGAGAAGTGGGGGAAGCCTGCATGACTAGTTTCCACAGGCTAGGAAAGGACAAGTTGATTATACAAAGGGAACAGGTGTCTGGTGCTAAGGTACAGCCAGAAAATAAAGATACTGTGCACATTAGACGTGCTGAACTTGAGGGTGGATGCAGCCACAGTATGACTAGCTCTGAGTAGTATGTTCCCTGTCACTTGGCCTTTCATATTTTTACTGAGTTTAGTCGTTGAAACTAGTTTTTCCATTCACGGGCGGTTTGTTTTGTAGAACCCTGGGAATGACATCTTTTAGTCTGTGACCTGAAACTAAATTAAGAAGTCTTATTTCACACGTCCAAAAATTCTGGAGTCCTAGTGATTATTCAGATCAAATCACATGCTTCCCTCTGTGGACAGAGGTTGGCTCTGCTCCTAGAAGAAGGTGCTTAGCAGCCAAAACGACCGTGCCTCCTCTAAACCTTTGCTTTTTAAATTCCTTTCTTTCCAGGTGCACCTCCAAATGTACCCTGGTGTCAACATTCACACTCAGTCAACAGAGTCCATCTAACCTTCCGGAACCCAGGCTTTACCACGATTGTCCCCGAGTTTTTCACATGTATGCATTATAGCTCCTTTTAAGGCTATAAGCTCATATGTGACAGTGTGAAGTGTAATGAAAAAGAAAAACACCAGTGGGGACCCATTTAAATGAGAACTGTCCCTGTTACAATACACGTGGAAAGCTATGTTACTTATTGCTTCCATAGTTCACAGGCTGCATAGATACAGTATCTGTAATTATTTTTTCAAGTTTAACTTTCATTCTTTTGGTGTTTCTTTAGAAATATTTGTCCTTCAAAGATAATTATATTTTTAAACATTCAAATCTAGTGATGGGTTCCATGAGGTAGATTTTTTGAAAAGTAGATTTTGATACAGATAGTTGCATTTAAGGGTTAGTGTTCAGAAATGAATTCATGGGTAGCTTTTAGGAATAAGTTGATGTCTATAATGTAATGAATTCTTCTTTCATAATTTTAACTTGGTTTCTCCTGTGATTTGAATATGTCCCGCCAAATTTCATGTGTTGGAAACTTAATTCCCAAAGCAGCAGTGTTGAGAGGTGGTGGGCTTTTAAGAGTAAGTAATGCCATTCATATGGATTAATGCCTTTCTCTCTGGACTGGGCTAACTGTCTTGGGACTGGACTTGCTTGGCGAGAACAGGTTGTTAAAACACAGGACTGCCTTTTGCACTTTGTTTCTTCATGCCTGTCTACTTCTCTCCACCTTCTAGCATGAGTGGACGCAGTAAGAGCCTCATCAGCGGCTAAATGAATGTGGATAGCATGCTCTTGGACTTCTGAGTCTCAAAACCGTGAGCTAAAATAACTTCCTCCACTTTTTATAAATTATTTAGTCTCTGATTACAGCAACAGAAAATGGACTAAGACAGTTTCATAGTTTTTCTAAAGAAGAAATCTGAAATAATACCAAGCATTGAGGCAAATTCCTTAGTAAACATGTATGTAATAACTATCATTGAGCTCATTTCTAAACGCTTTTTTATATGTTCACCCATTTATTCCCATCAAAAATCAATGAGAGTTATAATTTTTTATCTCCACTTTATAGATGGAGCAACCTGAGACATAAAGAATTCAAGAAACCAATATCATAAACTAGAGAATATAGTAGAGGTTCAACCTCAAATCCACTTTCCCTACAACTAATGACATACACAATGTTATCATAGTGTTATTTTTGATATAAACACTTAGAAAAGGGCTGTACACAAACAAAATTCACCTGCCATTCACACAGAGGGGATATAGTTTATGAATTACTTTTTTTGATGTTTGAAAATAAGGAAGACTATATTATGGTCAATGAAAATTACATAAAACTGAAATTGCATTGCACCCAAATAACATTTTATTGGAACACATCCCTGTGTGTTGGTTACCTAGATGTCCATGTTCTGATAGATTTCTCAGAAAAAATTCCAAATTAAACCAGTTTCAATTATATATATTATAGTAATTTGATTTTACTTTTCTTATTTTAAATTATCTTTCATGTATATAATGACATACTGTATATCCATTCTTTAATATATGTCAGACATTACTTGTGGAAAAAACTTAAAAGTAAATAAAGTGTAAACAGTACAGTAAAATTTTTATTTTTCTCATTTCTTCATGATCCCATCTTATGCTCCTTCAAATCATCCACACTGTGCTTTGCACATCAAAAGTGATCAATCTGTGAGTAATTTTGTTGCATTTTACACATAGGATATATTTCCCATTATGAGGTGAATAGCTCTATAATTTTATAAAGAGATAAAACGAAATAATGTAGAGGAAACAATGATTAATAAATGCGAGACACTAAATGCAAACAGAGGCAATGATGGAGCATACGGCTGAATTGGGGTGTGGACCAGGCTTGTTCCCTCAGTCTGGCTGCCCTGCTTTATTCTTATGCGGGTCGCTGTGGTGCAGCACTATTAATTTCCTCTGTGCCCACGTGTTCCTTCCTCCTAGCAGTCCTCGGAGATGGGTGTCTGCCAGTCTAAGAGAGCTGAATTTGAAATATTCAGGAATTTTGTAAAATCTTTGTTAAACTGTTGTTGGCTTGAAATCATCACTGTTGCACATATTTGTATCACAGGATTCTGCAAGTGTTAGAGACAGGCATCTGTTAACTGTTTGCTCCCAGTTTGTGTACATACGCACTAAAAGGACCTGCTTGATTTGATATAAGATACCAAGCAGATTAAAAGGAAGTCTAATAAATATTTGCCATTGGCTGAATATGAATCACTGCCTTATAATATTAGATAAATTATTTTATTTTTCATTTAAAAATGGAATGGGCACTCGTGTAGATATACATATTTGGTTTTTATTTGTGAAAAATATACACTCATAGAGAAAAATTTCACACCAAATACACTGCCCAGAATTGTCACTGATGGTGTTTTTTAAGTCAAAATATCCAGAAATTCCTGTTATTCTTCAGTTCAGACATAAAACATTTTGCAATATATGGTTATGGCTAGTAGCTCATTTTTCAATAAATATTTTAGAATATTGGCTTTTATTATATCAATTAGAGAGTAATATGAAAATATTTTAATGAAGATGTACATTTGAAATATTTCATTTTTACGAGGCCACTCGCAAGATATCACACGATAGCCTATTCATCAATCTTTACTTACACCTTGTGTTCTGCTAATAGCTGTTGGGTTTTTTTTTTTTCTTTTTCTTTTGTTTTTATTGGTACTAGGTATCAAACTCACAACCACCTGCTTGCAAGGTAGGTGCTTAGGCTGCTGAGCTAAATCCTCAGCCCCCTAGCTATTGGGTTTTAAAATTTGGCTTCCTAGGTAACAAAGATGATTGCTTATGAACACTTTTAGTTAAAGGATAAATGCTTATCTCTACTGGCTGCTGAATAATGCGTTTGTGTGCACACAGGCTCATATTCAGTATATACGCTAAGAAGGATGATGAAGGGATACAGAGAGATACTTGTCCATGAAGCTTCATGAGTGAATTTATTTTTAAGGTATAATAAATAATGGATTAACACGTTCATTATTATTCTAATATGTGAACATTGCTTTTTGGAGAAGAAACAGTAGGTAACTGTGATTAAGGAAAAAATAAAGTAGTGGTTATCACATCTGTAATACCAATGCCACACCTACCAGTAGTATATTCTATACCATCACAGATATAGTCCCATTCTGTGGAGGGGATAAACAAAGGCTGAAATGTACAGAAATAAAATTTAAGATATTTTTCTTAGCAAAATGACAAAAACAAAGTCGATTTTATTTAAAAATTAATTACCCTCTCATTTTAAAAAATATCCTGCCTTTCTTTACTTTTCTTGTTAACACAGACCCTGCTACAAGGTTGTTTAATCTCTTTTCCTGCAATCAAGGCAGTTCAGAGAAGCTAAGCCTCAGTAAGTCCTGCCTTGAGGCGCTTCTAAGGAGGGGAAATGATGGACATTTTTGCTAAGAGACTCAGTTTGCGATGGCTTGGATGAGTGTTGCCCAAAGGCCCATGTGATACAGGCTTTGTTACAAAACTATGGAGCTATTGGGGGTGGTGGCTCCCTTAGCAGGGTGAAGCCTACAGGAAAGAAGATAAAGCCTGTCTGTCTGTCTGTCTGTCTGTCTCTCTTCCGTTTTCATTTCCAGGTTGCCATAAATTGAGAAGCCTGCTTGGTCGTGTACTCTGGTTATGATGTTCTGCCTCACAACTGTCCTGGAGCGAAGGGGCCAGTGGAACACATGCTCAAAATGCTGAAGCCATGGGTCAAAGTCATCCTTTGCACTTTTAAGTTGATTATTTCATGCATTTTATCACAGTAACAGATCGCTGACTAATGCATAGATACCATCAAGAATTTTTTTCTAAGCTGCATACCTGACACTTTTTCTGAGTCAATGGAGAAAGTATGTTTGAACTGCTATACCTTAAATGATGCCATAATCTTTTATTACTTGTTCTTAAAACAACTCCTTTTCTCAAGCACTTTCTATCTCTTAATGTTCCACACTACAGAAGTCAGTGATACAGACCTTGATTTATTCGAAGACAGCTGAAAGTCAAATAGGATAGCGGGTTTATTTTATCTATCTCTAGGCACATGATTCTTTACATCTCAGCCCTTCAGGGCTCTCTTTCTGATTTGCAAATGGCTACCTTTGTCTGCAACCTCTCCTGGTATCTTCCGTGAGTGTGCTCAGCGTGTCCAGGAAGGCAGCATTCTGCTGCCTCTTCTTATTAGCTATGAAGCTTATCAGGTCACAGTCCCACAGTGACGAACTATTTAAATTTAATTACTTCTTCCTTCAAAATAAAATTCAGTCACATTAGTGTAAAAGGCTTCAGTGAATTTGAGGTGAAGGGAAGCAATTCATTTCATAGCATTACCATACTAGAATAATTTTTTAAATAATTCAACTTGATAGCTTGGAAATTACTTTTTTTTGACATCTGCAACAGAAAGTAGTATTTATTAACTTACAATCTATTTTTAATATGTTCGTGTAAGGATTGTTACAATGATGCAAGAGAAGATGCTTATCTGTTGTTTGGAATTATAGCCACTCACTTGGCACTGTCTTCACAGGAATTGATATTATCTGGCCAGATTTCGTTTTCCCTTGAACTTTTAATGTAATCATATTAAGAATTTTAGACTTGCTCATGAATTCAAAAAACTATCCAGTCAAACTCCTCTATTAAAAATGAAGAAATTCAGTTCCCAAGTGCCCGCGCTGCTCTCATTTTTAAGGAAGACATGGCAAAGCTTTTTCACAAATTCTTTCCCTTTTTCTTTTGATTTTAACCCAAAGTCTTTCCGTCTCCTCAACCATATATTTTCAGCACACCAAATTACTTGCCAATTACCTTTCAGGGTCCTGGCTGAAGACTCTATAGCTCTGTTGGCCTTCACGCTGCCAAACAGAGCTGATCAGTCCTCTCTTTTTGTGTCTCTTTATAATTGTTTCTAAATACATAACACTTCTCAATTTCTATCGCAGTAACATGTTCATTTATGTTCTCCTTTAAACCCAGAGCTTCTTGGAGGCAGCAAACGGACACATGGCAAAGCACTGGTGCTGGCCGATGACCCAGGGCTGTGATAAATGATTTTCAGACTTTATTTGGGCAGATATGGGTACACATGATGTGTCAACAGCAGGAACCTGGGTTTCCAGACTCTTAGTCACTGCTCTTTCTGCTCTGTGATTACACTTGAATTTAGTGCTAGTTTTGGAGTTTAAGAAAGTCTTCTGGAATAAAGCATTCATGAGTGTAATATGTCCCCAAAAAAGCCCAATACCAGTCTTTCTCTGAATCAGATTCCACATCTACATTTACTGTCTGGCACCTACAAGTTTCAAATACACCACACCCAAGAGAAAACTGTTATTTGCCATGGGGTAGGTTTATCCCAACTATTCAGCACAAAAGTCAAGTTTGACTTTCATTGTTATGACACTGGCTTGCAAAACAACTATGCTGCCTGAGCGTGGTCACGTTGCGGGATGCTTTAAAGAGAAACCACTGATGACCCAAACAGATTAGAGGTCACAAGGGTAAGCCTGGGGCAATTGTTCTCTGAACTCTGGCATTTTCTTAAGGGTTTCTGCTATTTTATTGCTTTTGGCTTTTTGCTTACGGTTTAGCAAATATTGTGAAATTGTGACTAAAGTTGGGAGAAGACAAACTGATGCTCTTTTCACAAATTAAATCACAATACACTTTGTCTGTAGAATTTTTTTCTTGACGAATTTAATAGTTGGGATACTACTGTTTGCAACAAATAAATTGAATTTTTAGGAAGATTGAGATGAATGAAAAATTCTAATGTTTTTGAATGTTGTGTGATTATTCAGATTAAAAACATGAAAAATTTTGTAATACCCTGGACATGTAACAATTCTTGGAATAAATGAGAAGAAAACCACTTAATTACAAAAATACAAATTCTGTTTTTGAAATACATTTTATAAAACTATTGTATGTGTAGTCTTACAAATTAGGTATTTTTTATAATGTATTTTATTTTTTTAAATTGACAGATAAAGTATAAAATCAGGTGTGATTATTGAAAAATCTGCAGGTAGAAATTTGAAAGACTAACTTGTAACATTTTGCTTTATACCAAACATTCCTATTTACCTTAAATTTTTATGAAACAAGTAGCTGAAATTCAAAGACTTTAATTTAGCAATTAACTTAAAAGCAGAATAAGTGATAATCAGAACAAGTCTCTTCCACAGTACACATTTATGAAAATACACTTATATAAGGTATTTTTATTTATAAATAATTAAATAACTTGAAGAACTTCAGAAAATCTCTGATAAAATTTGAATATTAAAATATTTACTTTGTCACCTCTGGAGTAATGAGCCTGCAAAGGGCAGTAGGTGCTGTGTGGATGTGAGAATGAGACGACATTGGATTTTCATTCAGTCCAACAAGTGCTTGGCTATTCTGGATAAGAATTTTTTATTCATATCTATTATTAAATTGCCTCCTCCACTTTTCATATGTTCTAAAATAGCTGAAAAAATTTGACAGCTTGTTTTTCTTAAAATATATATTTAAATATTTCCCCACTTTATTAGAATATCTTTTCTCCAGGTAACTCATCACAATGCACAAGGTTACAATATTTTAGAATATAGCATAAACTGCTTGCTAAAACAAAGGCCAAACACAAATGCTAATGATGAGAAGGGAGAAAAAGCGATATATACAAAATATTTTCCTTCTATCTGAACCCAAGTACATACCTTTCCTTTATCTTTCTTCCTTTCTTTCTATTCTTTTCTTTCTTTCTTTTTTCTTTCTCTCTTTCCTTCTTTCTGTTCCTTTGCAAAGGTTATTAAACTTAACTCTGTACTCTACATTACACTGCAAGTTTGTGAGTGCTGGAAGATATTTCTTTGTAAAATTATCTGAAAGGTGGTGCCTATTTTATGATGGAGAAGCAAAACTCTTACAAATTATCTTTTTAAACAATATTTGCCTTGAACCTCCCTGTTCTGTTAAAAAGAGGAGAAGGAGGAGGAGGAAGAGGAGGAGGAGGAAGAGGAGGAGGAGGAAGAGAAGGAGGAGGCAGAGGAGGAGGAGGAGAAGGAGGAGGAAGAAGAAGAAGAAGAAGAAGAAGAAGAAGGAGAAGGAGAAGGAGAAGGAGAAGGAGAAGGAGAAGGAGAAGGAGAAGGAGAAGGAGAAGGAGAAGGAGGAGAAGAAGAAAAACAAAAACAAAAACAAAAACAAAAACAAAAACACCCACCTGCCTCAAAAGTTGGTCCAGAATCCCTACAGTTGAAGTGGCCTATTCTGTACCCTTACCCCATCAGTTTGGCTTTATTGGGTATGAAACATGCAACACTCAGTGTATGCTGTACACGTCTGAGCACATGTGTTTTACTTCAAACATACTCAAATTATAAACACAAAGGGCCCACTAGGCTGCAACAGACACCTGTGACTGTGCTTGAGATCTGAGGGAAACATGACTGTCAGAGAGGATAAAGTCTGCTTTAAGCAAAGTATAGCTCAATCTAAATGAAGGATCAGAGAGAAACATCAGAAAATCCAGGGATGTTGAAATTTGTTGCAACAGCAACCCTAACACTAGTTTTGCGACATGCAAGAGTACTCTCAATTGTCTAAGGAGTTTTACAAAATTCTTTAAGGAAGTCTCAAAATATACGCACCTACTGATGACCAAAAATCACATAAAATAAAATAGAAATATGAGCTATCCTATGATTTCAGGAGAGAAATTGGCCAGTGTGGTAAAATTAAGCAATGAGATAATGTTGCACCCTTGAATAAGCTGGAAATTATTTAAGCTCTAATGCTATTCAAGTCTCTATGGGATGAATAGACAGAAATGCACAAGATATTTTGGCTATATTCAAACTTGACAGAGCTTAGTAGGAATGAGATAACTGCTAATTGACAGATTTATAAGGGGCTACTGAACCAATGATTTAAATGTAGGTATGGTGGATTTCCCATTGGAGTATGTAAAAGCATTCTCTCAGAACTGGGAGGAGTTTTTCTTTGTCTGCAGCTATTGCAAAAAGATCAGAAGGGTTCAAACAAGTTAGGCTGCCTTGAACAGTTTACCTTATGTCTCTGAATAACATACCTCATGGATTATTTTGAAAATTAAATGAGATAATGCACATAAAAGACTCAGCACTGGGCCCTGCGCAGTAAATACTCAATATACTTGGGTGAATATCAGAATTACCTGGGGAAATTAAAAAAAGAAATAGGAGTGCCAGAGCTCCTTACAAACCGATTAACTTCAGAACTTGGTGTTAAGGACCATGTTGTGGCACTATGAAAGCTTCCCAAGAGATTCTCATTGCAGTCAAACTGCTGATCTAAGTGGCCCAATTAGTCCAGCAGCAGTTCTTATCCCTTGGCTGCACACTGAGATCCTCTGGGGAAAAGACTGACGCCTGGGCTTTTATTTCTGATTTAATTGGTCAGAATCTACCGTGGACACTGGGATTGTTGAAAGTGGCCTATTAATTCTAATGTGTCCAAGGTTGAGAATCACTGAAAATCAAGAAGGTAAAGCTTATTCTGTGCGTTTTAATTGCACAGTATGATTTATTTTACAAATAGCATAATCTCCTGATTATGTAAGCAATGGATACTTTAAAACACTGTTATAAATAGAAAACCATAAAGAAAACATTAACAAAGCCACAATCTCATTACTCAGACACAAATATTGTCAAGTACTCACTTTATTTCCTTTTGATATTAATTTTTTTATATGGCTGGGCTCATAATGTGTATGCAAAAATAATTTGCATATTGTGTATGCAAAATAATTATTTTCTTTTTTCCTTTTAGCATTATACACATTTTCAGTGTTACTATGTTTACATTATAGGCATGCTTTTAAAGAAATGCATATGCTTAAAATGTCCCCTTGGTATATTATTATTTTGAATATTTTATAGTCAGTTCCACATAAGGTATTTAGGAACTTTTGCGGAAATTTCATCTACCAAAATCAAATGACAGTTCCTCCCATCAGATAAGCAGGAGAATAATCAAAGTTTATGTTTAAGGCAAAGCTTAAAAGATTTGAAAGTGGGTGTTGGTGCCTAAACTCATCAACCACAAATACCAACTTTCTACCCCAAGTGTAGTATTTGATGCTGGGCACAGGGCCCAGTAATAATCTGAATACTAAAGCAAGCTAGGTTAGATTGCTTACAGTCAGGATTGGAAAAAGAAAAGAACAGAGAGCATATTGAATGCAAAGAAACAATTCCAGACCTGAAGCCAAAGAACAGCTGGACACAATGGATGTCAACCACTAGACTTTTGTGCAAACCCTAGAACTTTCCAGCTTCCGGCTCTGAAGGAGGGAAGCACTGAGTGGTGGTTTAATTTGAATCAGCTGGAGGGCACAGATGCTTTAGCACATACATAATCTGTGGAGGTGTCTAGGAAGCTGACATAAAATTTGCAGGGAAGGTGACTTTGATGACACTTTTACAGGATATCGAAGCTGACCACTGAAACTTCCATGACCTGCTGCAAGTTAATCAGTAAAATCTAGAAAAAGAGTCCACATCCGAGGACTTTGAAAAGAGTGGCATAGAAATATTTCCTTGGCATCCTCGGAAGTGGAGTGAACAGAATGTGAAATTAGGAACTTGTCTTGTGGCAGACAGATTTTCAGGCACTCTGTAAGGTGGTAGCCATTAACGACATAATCAGATCAAGGACAGGCCCCAAACAAGAGGTAAACTCTGATCCTGGGTAACCTTTCCTCACATCCCTTCCACTTCTCAGTGAAGACATCTGTTTCCCATAATACGATTAATAATCTGTTTCCCTAATATTGTTGCCGAATTTTTAAAAGGATGTTAATATTGCCACGAAAGCAAAACTATCAACCAGGAGAAGTGTGGAAGAGGGAAAAGGAACTCGTGTCTTGCTTGGAATAAAACTCCAACTTCCCGTAATCTCTGCCTCGGGACCTGCTGTGATGCAACCGCTGCTCACTTGGTGTCAGCCACTCTGGCCCCTCCGAGCTCCTCAGGCATGCCACAGTGTTTCCTGTCTCAGGGCCTTTGCCCTGGATATTTCCTGTCTAAAATTCTCCTCTCCTGGGTCTTTCTTTCTGCATGGCTGGCTTCTCATCGCTTAAGCATTCCAGTATCCTAGAGAGGCCTTGATAGCCTCTCCTATCGAATGGCTTACCCCCTCATATCTCCCATTTTCTCTATTATATCCTTCTTTATTTCTTCTTATCACCACGCCTTTGGTCCTTCATTCAGCGATTAGGCACTAAGTGTCTACACTGTGTGAGACACAGAAACACCCTGCTGATGTCTGCCATCAGGGAGCCTAGACTTTATGGAGGATCTGAACATTAACCAGACAAGCACACAAATAATTACAAAATCCTAGTTCTGTTAAGATTTACAAATGACAGCACATGTGATTGCTCCACATTTCAGTATTTCACTCTGAATGTCTTTGAACTTTGAATATGTGCCCCTGGGGGCAGTATGCTTGCTTTCTGTCTGGCTCTGCACTGTAGTCTCAGAGAATATACATGGCAGGCCTTTGGTATATGTCACTGAATAAATGAATGTTAAGCATTTGCATCTATTCTTTCTCTTTAACTTCATTCTAACCATGAGAACTGCAAAATTATCCCTATTTTTTGAATCAGTAGCATTGTATCTCAGGCAATCAGTTAATCTAAAATCATAAAGCTGCTGACTAATGTAGAAATTAACACAGAACGTGCTTTAAGAGTCATCTCCTTTCGGTAAAAAGGGAATAGGAGCGATGAAGACTAAATTAATGCAGATTGTTTCACTATGAAATAAAACCTGAGCTTATTGATTGAAATATGTCTTCAAAAAAAGAAAGAAAGGAAAAGTCAAGCCAAAAA